GTTCATCAGGCGGCCTACCTCTCCCCATTTGTAAGAAGTGTGACTGTATTGTAGATTGCCCGGATGGAAGCGATGAAGCTAACTGTGGGCCAATCTTAGTAAACTTGACGGGACGAGCCGTGGGCGAGATAACTTCACCTAAAACTAATGTTAAAAATTATATGGGATCTCTGACTTGCAGAAGAACTTTGTGGACTGATAATCCAGACTTTTACATTAAGCTGCTGTTTACAGACTTTGTTATGTATGGGAATTGCAAAGATAATTATGTTTACTTGGAAAATGCGACTTTAAGCGGCACGGATCCATCGCATGGCTGTTGCAAGAAGAGTACTAACGTTTCGTGCGCCTTTGGTAATGGAACTGGCGCTCCTCCCCTGGCGCATACCGACAAAAACTTTATGATTGTAAACTACGTTTCCATGGACTCAAAGTCGTCGACTTTTTCAGCGAAATGGTTCAACGTGAATGGGAATTTCCCCTACAGTCTTATTCCAGAGGAAGATTCAGACTGGGTAGATAAGTTAAAAATCTTAGGCCCAAAACCTAAAAACATTGAGGATGACACAACAGACGCAACTTATATCGCCGCAGTTGTCATTTTTTCCATCATCGCTTTTGCTGTTTTGGCAATTCTGTCGTGCAAAGTGGGACGGCACTTTCTAGGATCCCGTTGTAGCGTTTCTTATTGCTGCAGTTGGATTGCAGCCAGACGGCGTTTGCAATCCCCACGCTTGTCGCCACGAAGGGAAGGATCACCAGAAACAAGGCCCACCAAAGGGAGCGTTCAAAACGAACGTACGCGTATAGGGCCACTGAGAAATGTCCCTGTTGATGCAAGAGGCTCCTCGTCTCTTAGGACTCGATATGGGAGCGCAGGAGAGGGCGTGGCTTGAGCATTCATTCATCTCCATTTTACGATGTAATTTCTGTAATCGATGTAAAGATGTTAGGGCAGTGTTACCTCCTTACATGAAAACGTTGCCAGTTTATAATATTTTTTGGGGCTAGATAAATAGATTCTCGCAAATTTATCCGTTTTAAGGAAACTATTCAATTTATTTGGTCATGGTATTGAGACAAAGTCACCACTTTTACTGAGTAATCTTTATTCATCAAAGAAGAATACTATTTTTATTTAGAAACTCTGATACAACAATCAGGATGCTAGATTGTACACTTGCAACTGTATGGTTATATAAGAGAGAAAGATAACGATTCATCAGATTTATTAATTTATATAAAGCCCAAATTAGATGCATTAAAGGCGTTGTTTTGGCAACTCTGTACTATGCGTATGGGACCAAAGGAATAACTACGATGACTTCTGTCAGCCATCTTATAGCTGTTTAGAGCTGAACTTATCCAGATTTAGAGGCAACAAAAAGACATTTACGGACCCCAGGAGATACTTCTTGTCTAAAGTACAGCAATCAACATAGTCAAAGATTTTGAAACCTTTTTTTCGGTTCATTTTGTTTTTGTTCTCTCTGCTTATTGGTTTGTGTTTAGTTAAGGGTAAAGTGAATAAAAATCAAGTTCCCTCTTCGCCTCTTCTTCTCTTTCGTGTGCGTGTGAAGTATCAGCAACTGGGAAATTATCTCCCTTTGTTTTCATCCAAAGTAAAGATGAAACCAGGCACAACCTTAAGTTGTTTATCCTCTATCTTTTGATGTGGTCGACATCAACTTGATTTCCATAACTACACTGGCATGTGTGGTCAATTTCTATGTGACTGGCGCTCTAGCGAAGGGCTTAAGTTCGAAACGTCAGCTTGGAAACTCTTTACGGGGGCCGATTTACGATATGAACTCAGTTGATAATACTTAATTACCTTGTTATACTTTCCCACTGACGCAGCGCCATAGTTCAGTTTATTGAGAAACTGACTAACTGATTGACTGACTGACTTACTGGCTAACTGATTGACTGACTGACTGACTGACTGATTGACCGACTGACTGACTTAATGACCGCCTGGCTTACTGATTAACTGACTGACCGACTGATTGACTGAATGACAGACTGACTCACTGACTGACTGATTGACTGACAGACTGACTGATTGACTGACTTACAGACTGACTCAATAACTGAATGACCTGACTTAAGGACCATTAACCTTTTAACTCCCAGATCAAATTTGTAATTCTCCTTACTGTCAACCATACAATTCTTATAATGTTAGTTCAGAGAATTTAGTATTGGATCAACTTATTATCCCCCAATTGATATTTTTCTTTATTCTCATCACTTACCTGGTTGATACTGTATTGATACTGTAAGGAGAAATTCTGTCTTGGTCGGTCAAGGGAGTTAAAAGGGTTAACTGTCTGATTGTGTGAATGTTTCACTGTTTTCCCGAACAAGCTTCACGGTGGCTTCGCTGGCTGATTGCCTCCTACAAGACTTAAAAATGCTACTCCGCCGCTAATGGGCGGAGCGCCTGACTGAGCGACTCATTGAAATCATCGTCCAGAGGTGAATTATTCCAGATCAGCTTTGTACGTAAAAAGCAACTACTGTCTTACCCCTTGTTCAAACCTTATGATACTTGATTCTATTTTGCAATATTTTGCAATTTAAAAAAAATCAGAAATAGATTTCGCGAAATACGTCCATCTCCCGAAATCGCGAACCTTGGCCCTCAAAAAAATAAAATACTGCGTTACTTTTTTGTCCAAAGAGTAACGCAGTATTTTATGACGGAAATTTTAAAATATTCCTAATCATATTGCCTGTCGCACTAGAGAAGAGAGAGAAGGCTCATTTTAACGCAGCTAACGAACGAAGACATCAAAAATTGTATTTGGCAGTTTACCCCGATATAAGCGGATACTTGTCTGTATTTATATGTTTTTTTTCACGGAGGCACGTGAAAGAAGGTTGTGAAAAAGTACTCATGCGTATTAAATATTGGAAACCGGATCAAGCGTGAACTAGTGTTGTCGGAGAGATCAGGTAACCGACCAGAGGATGAACTGCTATCTCCTCTTCTGTGTTGTAATTGTGTTCCAAACCGCTGCCATCGCTACACAGAGCTTAGAAACTCGCGGACAAGGCACAACGTTGCGACACAAGCGGGCTTCAGCAAGCAAAAATAACACTTGTGCTGAAGAGGAACTGAAGAAACCCACCGGCGCCATTTTAAAAAGTATCGAGAACGATTCCTCGACTTTCCTTCCAGGTGAAGAGGCTGTTTTCGTATGCAAAGATGGATATCGACTGCAGAATGGTCAACTGAAATCATACACCTGTAAAGCAGACGGAAACTGGACTTTAAACGCTAAGAACAAGTCAGAGGATGGTAAGTGTGTTTGTGATTTCAAAGGTAACTCGGGGTAAGAATATTTGCATTACAGTCGACAACGAATTAAAAGTTTACTTGTTAATCAAGCTCCCCAGATTAACGGTGTAGGAGGTCAAAATACCTCTTGGTTAAATATGTTGTCTTAATACCGGAATCTTGTGTTTGGTTAATGTCTTATTGGGGCTAATTGTTTTAAAGATGAATAAAGCCTCGACAAAAACACGTAGCAATAACTTAACATGCAAATGATATGTAAATTATGCGCACTAAACAGTACAGCTGTTCAGAAAGTTGTCTTCTAAGCTGACTTAAGGATTCCTTGCGATAAATCTGGTGACCGAAAAATAATAATTACAACTACAATTTTAAGAAAGACTGAGTAGCAGATAAAATCAAAATTTTTTTAATTTTATCGTGTGATGTGATTTTTCTCTAGGCTTTTGTCAGAAGGACCCCTGTGGTGCAAGGGTCATAGACGTCACTGGAAGAGCCACAGGAGTCCTAACTAGCGATATATTCCAGCAAAGTCAATCTGACGCGATTGTGAATTGTAGTTGGACACTTAAAACGCAAGATCCGGGCTTTTACATCAAGTTGCTTTTTGAAAACTTCACCTTACCCGAGGACTGTACTCAAGATTTTGTGACATTGGAAAAAGTACGATTTTGGGATTTCAAAAATGAGAATTGCCCCTGCGAGGAGAGTAAATCTGTTTGTAGGTTTAGTGGCAAGCACGCCCCATCCCTCTCTCGGTCCGTCACAAATGAAACAACGGTGAACTTCTACTCGTCAAACCCAGCTAAGTCCTACTTCAAAGCGATATGGTTTAACGTGAATGGTTTGTTTCCGGAAGGAGTTGTTCCCGCTCCAGACCCCACTGAGAGTCCTGAAATCGTGAATTCCAAGCTCGAACTGACAACAGCACCTGAGTCGAATACATCCTTCACAGTTGCCCTCATCCTGTTTACACTCATATTTTTCGTTATCGGCGTCGTGTTGGCGTGTAAAGTTGGCCAACGGTATCTGGGGCCCTCATGCAGCTTTGGTGCCTTTTTTGCTTGGATCTCAAGTTTACGCACTTCCCAGGCCCCATTATCGACGCAACGCGGTGCAACGTCCTCAGAAGAAAGAGGCTTAATGACAGACACTGACAGTCCCCTCGTAACGGAGCGGGTTGTCATACGGGGATTACAGCATTCTCCGTCAACAGAGGATGAATCGAGTGCATCTTCTCGTGAAAGCTTACAGAATGTTGTCTGATGGAGTGAATTCGAGTTGCACCGGAAACTTCAAGTTATCTGTAATTAGAACCAAGCTAGCAAAATTTCGAGGGTCCGGAGCCTTTTTCCAATCGGAAATCGTGTCGTAAAGAAGAATAAGTTTATATGAAACTGCGAGAAGTTGAAATCTGAAAGCAAAACTCAGATTTGTAGAATGGCGCTAAGCGCAGTTAAATGTTTTGCTTCTAGGTCTGATTTTTCACCTTCGGCCGAGTATTAGTTAAAAAAGCCTCACATAAGTCTGCTTACAACCTTTTCTTAAGAATCTCTGTGCGAGACATCAATAAACAACGCAAATTCATTACTGATTGTCACATTAGCGCTAGCTACCGTAAGGCCACACCTGAGATTTACAAAACAAATGGAGCGGTGACCATTCGATCAATTTATTTCACTTTCGCAAGGTGTTTGTGCGAGTTCATAAAATAACATAATTATCAGGGGCGTAGTAACGGGCCCCTGACATGCCTAAAGACCTTCCCCCACCCATCCGCCTTCGGATTAATTAAGAAGCGCGAATTGGAAGAGTCTAAATCTTTGCTGGTGCATGAATACGAGCCTGCTGATGAGTAGGGCAGCGGTAAAAATGACCCCTCTCAGAAAAATGCTAGCTATGCCCTAAATAATTTACTATAGACTTATGGTATTATTCCAGGTTCGCGGCGCACAAAAATTTCTCGTTATAAGGCGCCGCGCAGTTTATACGTGCGCATATCCATGTTGCTTCATACCCAGACTGTCGTAGCTTGTAAGCAAGCCTTCATTATAAGCGCTGCGGTACAAGCATTCCTTCACCTGCAAGTAAGTTTGAAGGTTTTGGCGAAAGCAAGCTGACGAGGGACCTGCATGGGACTTGGAACCATATACTCTCATTAGTAGTGCCACATCACTCACACACCTCTCTCTGACTTCCGTTTCTCAAGGCCTCATTACTCAGCGCTAAAAATTAATGAGGGCCTGCTCGCGGGCACACGCTGCCAGAGGAAATACTCGTCGCATTCTTCAACTTTCCCACTCTAACAAACACAACGCAGTCATACACAACGCAGCGTTCAAACGTCGGGCATGCGCGAGGGGATCAACTCTGGCTGGCCACAGGCTAATTTCTCGCGCAAACAGGTAAGTATAAGAAACGACCACTTTCTTGCAAAATTAGCGAAAGAAAATTGGAAAGTTAACGTTCATGTAACTTTGTGAAAGGAAACAAAAGTAAGGAAAAGGAAAAATCGAGATTTTTCGAACAAAAAGCGTATTTAAGCAAGAGTATTCTGTTAATTTACCATTCTGTTTTGAAGTTTAAAAATACCATGATCCACTGGCTTGAGTGGTCATTTGCAGCTTGTGTAGAACAACCCGGTCGTGACAGAGTAGTCATCTCTAGTCTTCCTCTTGTTGACACAGCGGCAAAATGGGTGCGCATGCTCCGCTATTCAAGCAATTTGAGCGTTCAGGGCTAGCAATTTTCCTTTGCGAACAAAGCTGACGCAAGGTTTTTTGCTGATACAACAAACTTCTTCTCCAGGGAGTTTTCTCTGAGAGGAGACGATGACAATATTACGGATACTTTACTTGAGCCGCTAAATTCTTACCTGTTCCCGTAATACCTTTTTTTGTTGAGTAAGATATATGACGGAAGATGTTCGACAGAAACTTTCCTGAAAACTGCAACCTTATCTGTTTTGGTTTGGGCTTATCCCCGCAAAATGAAAACAAGGAATGGGAATTTTAAAAATGCCGCCATTTTGCCTCGACAGTGTTACTATGGAAATATTGTCGCTCCCATCCCTTTACACGCATATATGTTCTCGTGTGATACAAGCATGCGCACTTATTTTGCCACTGTGTTCCTATAATCAAAGTCATTAAAACGTTTGCACATGCGTAGACGTTTGACCACTGTGTTATCATTCACCCACGTAGACAGGGCCATAACTTCCTGCGCTTTCACGTTTTTATTTATTCATCTAATTTTATTTCTATTTTCCATTGTCATTTTTTAAAGTTTATTCTACCAGCTGCGGCGACAGCGAGTGACTTAAAGCACTCTCACGGGTGAAGAGATTTCCAAAACTGCTTCACAGCGGAACGCATCTCTCTCATGCGCCAGCAATACACCAGCGGATTTAGCGAAGAATTCAAGTAAACCAAAAAGAGCGTACACCTCATCACAAGCTTCTTGAGCGGTGAGGACCAATGGATGAAGTTCATAGAAGTACGCATACAAATATAAGGAAAATAACACGCCATGAGTAAAATAAACAAGAAAATCATGGTGATCAGAGATTTCCTGTAGCGTTTGATATTAAGAGTTTCTAGCCCGTTTTGTGCTCGTATTTGAACTTGAATCTGAACTCGGTGACGGTGACAAATGCGATAGATCATGAAGTGCATGGAAGAATTTATCACGAGACACAACATTATAAGCGTGATTATAAAGTTACGATATAAGTTATTGCCGATGAAAACCGTCATCGCACAGAAAGCGCTTGTAACCCATATAAAACACAGTAAGGTGGCTGTCTTGTTAATTGTAACCATGGAAACGTACTTTAAATGCAGCTGAAGGGCGAGAAATCTGTCTACGCTAATCGAAGTTAGAATCAGAATAGTCGCCGACTGAAAAACGGCTTGTATGGATCTAAAGATCTTCCACATATCTCGAATAGATCCCTCTGATCTCATTTCCAAAATCAAAAACAAAGTGAATAATGGCTGAATAAGAACTCCGACTCCCAAGTCAGACACAGCGAGTCCAGAGACGAGCAAATTCGTCGGCTTGTGTAAGATTCGTGTCTTCCAAACTGCACCGAGAACTAAGAAATTCCCCAAAAATGCTGTCAACGAACACACGATATTTAGAACGCAGATGACAGTGTAGACATCGGCGTAACATTTATCGCCCAGTTTGGGCTTACCGCTCGGGTTTGTAAAGTTTCTATACATGGGTGTAAACGTTCGTAGCTTGTTGAAATTATCTGGCATTGAAGTGCACCATGCAGCTGAGAGGTTCCTACTTTGTGGTATGATACCCGACTAGTTGTTGTTATATCAATTATTTGTCTTTACATATAACACTGTGACTGCCGGATGAAGCTCCCACTTGAATTAAAACTGAGCCATCAGTAATATCAGAGATATTCCTTTAAATGAAATCCATTTTGCCTTGTCAGAAAAAGGATTTATTTACTTTATATCTTTTCTTGAAGTTGTTCTAATTACTGACTTTTGAAAACACTAATTGACTACCGGATGAAATTCTTCCTTCAAATGAAAAGCGGCAAAATTTATTGTGGTACATCTTTTGTTTGATTGGAAATAAAAGATTCATATACTTAATTAAAATTTTAAAGAAGACGGATCTAGTTGTAATCGATTCTGAACCAATAAAGTTTATTACTTTGTTCGGAAATGGAAAGTTTACACCTTTGAACACCTTTTTCCGTTTTCCGCATTTTCCGTGTTTGCAGACCTATCCTTAGCTTGTTCTGTTGTGGATTTTTTTTCATTCAATAAAGCCTTTAATTTATCTAAATCACTCTCTACCCTCTTTGATTGTATCTTTCAAGGGTTGCCAATCAATCGAATTCAATAACTTCACTTTGCTCAAAATATTATCGTTTCAATCTTATCCTTCGTCACTGAGTTCCTGTTCAAGTTAGAACTTACACAATGTTTTTATATTAAAAAACTGCATGCACGCAAGACTGCCTTCGCTGATTTGACATGTAAGAAAAAAGAAAGCCAAGTTTGAGGACCATGTCTTGGTCAAAGAACGAACAGTGACGTTTTATTTATTTTTTTTTTCCTTCTCGCGAATTGACACTATCCAGTGGCCATTCTTCCTTTTTCCCAAAGTGTATGTTCACCTTTGTGCAAGTAAATATAAGCCAAACTTGAATTCACCTCAGTTCATTATGATTAATACATATAGATTCCCTATATCACCTTACTAAACCTACAGTTTGGTAATAATGTTTCCGTTAGTTAGTTAGTTAGTTAGATGAGGACATCTTCGCTCCTGCTAGGGAGCACAGGACCTCAACTATGGACCTCCGCTGGACTCTTTTGTTGGCAGATCTCTTCACCTCCCTCGAGGTGATGTTCCTTTTAGCGAGCTTATCTCGCCACTACACCTCCAGGACTGCTTTGGACTGCATCTCCTTTAATGCTGTGTTAACGAGTTAAAACATGGCCTAGATTAGTCTAAACTATTTGCAGGTTTGCGCAAATGTTGCAATTTTAAATAATCATCTTTTGAATTAAGTCTTTGCGTATGTGAAAAATGCGACTTCGATCACTCGCCCGAAAAAAGACATCGCCAAAACAGTCTAATTGTCGGGCTAATCGCCCGCATGCGCCAGCGGTACACCAGCGGACAGAGTGATAATCTATTATCTTATTATTATCTATTATCTAAGGTCAAAAATTGTCGTGCACAGGAAAATGACTTGTATGGTTCTTAAGATTTTAGTGGTATGTTTTCTGTTCCCATTTCTAGTTCGTAAATCGAAACTTTGATAAAAACGGCTGGATTATAAGCCTGATATGACTCCTCAGTATATCTGACTAGGCCATACCAATCCCTTGGGGGAAAATTCGCCGAGCGATTCAAACTTGAGGATACAGGACAGGAGGTTAAATAAAACTGACCATTTACCCGCGAGAAAAGGAACAGCAAGTGGTTTTGCTTCCTCTCTCTCTTAAACGTTGGTTGTCATAACAATGATATTCTACTCATTATTTAAATTATTTTGTTAATCATTTGAAAAAAATCATCACCAAGATGAAAGACACTCTTTTTGTGTAATTTGGACTAATGGGGTGTAAGATTGATCAAGAGTATATTACATGGCTGGACGTGGAAACGAATCAAATATTTTCGATCGAGTGTTGATAACAACTCTTAAGAATGAGCGAAGTGAAGGAGTGAGAGAAATTATTAACACCGGAAGATAAATTCATATCCTCAAGCAGACATGTAGTGTTCTGTCTATGATATAAATTTTGATCACTTATTTAGATAAAAGACAATTTAAAAACACATTTCAAGAGCTCCAAATGCAGAAATCACGTCCACATAAAAATCAGCTTGTAGAAAAGCTTCTTAAGCGATCGAAATAAGATAAAATAAAATCTCAGAATGGAAAGTTCTCCCCTCTCAGCTTAAGGTTGAATTCAGCCCAGGTGATGTATTTGAATGAAAAAAAGCCTTTGTGAAAAGTAAAACTAGTAGTTTGTTTAACCTAGTTACCATGGCGACATTCTCATTTTCACCTGCGAAGATTTAAATGGTACGTTTATTGCGCCCGATTAAGATAACTTGCCCTCGAAGCAGGAAAAAATCTGATTTTTCATCGATGTCTGTTTAATAAGAAGGATTTCATGTTCGATAGAAAAAGAGCTCGGAGAAAATGTGCTTAACTTGGTGGCAAATAAGCTAAACAAATTGTCACAACCACATTTGAATGTCATTCATCAGACAGAATATTATTCGAGATCTTTCAAAATGTTTAGTTTAGCTGGAGCGTTGAACCTAAACTCTGACAATTCTTGACAGTTGGTTCATTTGACTGATTACTTGACTGAGCTATGATAAACATTGTGCTCACTGTTACAAGTTTTCGCGATCATTTAATTTGATTTAATTCCGCGAAAAATCACATGTTCATTACATGTTCCGTGAGAAATGTCTCAATTAGGTTTCAGTAAAAATCAATGCTAGTAATCTCATAGGATTTTTATTCAGGTAAGAATTCACAATAAAACGACTGAAATGCTAATAACAGAATACCGTTTATTTGGGCAGCTAAACTGAGAGAGTGCATTCTCTTCAGTCAATCTACAGCTCTGAGAATTTCTTGTAAAATCAAGAAACAACTTATCGATATTACCTTTCTGCTTGCCTAGGTGTTAAACCTTTAACTCCCATGAATGACCAAGAAAGAATTTCTCCTTACAATATCAATACACTATCAGGCAGACAAGTGACGAGAATAGAGAAAAATATCAAGTAGGGGATCATTAGTTGATCAGATACCAAATTCTCCAAACCAACATCACGAGAACTATATGGCAGACAGTAGGGAGAATTACTAATGAGATCTCAGCAGTTAATGGTTAATGCTCTAGGGAGAAATTACTAATTGGTCACCCTTGGAAATGACGAGGTTAAATGAGGAACGACGAGGTCGTTTAAAGAAATATCTTAGCTCGTTTCAGTCGATCAATTGGATACGACTTCTTTAGCGATTTTTTAGTAGAAATACTGTACATGTAAACAGCTTCAAAAAAAACAAGCTTTAAGTCTTCCTTCCTTCTACTAAATGTTCTAACTTTGGAATAGAGAGAAAAAAGTATAAAGTTATTTGTAAAAAAAAAAAACATCTAACAATTATTCATTCATGGAGGAAAATATCCACCACCTTCAATGTCACCGAAGTGAACCATTGTTTCAGTGATAATCTCACAGAAACCAAAAAAAAAATAGTTTATCTCTTTCCCTATACCGTAGAATTGTCAGAAATCAACTTTTGACATGCAATTTTGTCCCTTCGGCTACTCTGTGGGGAAAATAACTTGCTAATCACTTCCTAACCAATCAGCGTCCGCGAAAGCTAATTCGCCTGAGTGGTACATACTAACATAATATTGTATCCAGATCCTACTGTTTAATTGTTACTGAAATGTGGAAAGTCTGGGCACAAGACTAATACTAACAGTGTTATGACCAGTCATTATTCCTTGCACATTTACAATCGACTATGGTGGCTTGTTTTCCTCGCAGATGGGAAGTCATGTTGTTTTTCTCTCCAGACTGTGGAATTTCCATCATTCTATAAACTGGTTGACATTTCGGGTAACCGTAGGTAGGAATACTGCTCAAACAGCCAAAAGATGCCGGCTTACATTCTGTCACGAGGACGCCATTACGCACATTTATTTGGAGCACACATGGTTTGCCCACTGATTTTCGAGGAAGTGGACTTTGGAGAGACGGCGGTGGAATGGTGACAAGTGTAAAAACGAGAAGTGGAAGAACCAGAGCTGATAAACGCTAAATTGAAAAAAGGATAATAATTCTTAAGCAGCATGTAATCATCCGCGTGAAATCTTTTTGCTTAACGGAAACTTAAGTGAACACAACGGCTACTCTGAACAAAAAAAAAAATGTCACATGCCATTATTAACGGCTTCGAGCGCGGGAAAAAACCAGTGCCCAAGTTTTGATTAGTTACAAGGGTGGCACGAGTTTTCAAGACCAATCACAGAGTGCCGGAAGTAAAGCGTGTCCACGACGCTCGACTGCGGAATAAAGAAGGGGGGAGGGGGGGGGAGGAACTCAAACACTTACATTCTCTCTTTATTTAAAACGATAGCCACCTTTCAAAAAGTTACATGAGCGATTTTCCACTTCCTTCTCCAATTACCTCTTTTAATGCCATTAAAAATTGTCAAAAGCTCCCTTTTCATAGTTCTTTATAATATAAATTCAAGCTGCAAAAATCCTTCAGTATTACCATCTAATTGGCACAAATTTCAAGCCAACTGTGATAAAAACCGCCCAACTGCTTTTATTGTTGATATGGAAAATAAGAGGTCGCACTGCCGTTAACCTTGTTGAATTCTTGCCATCTTGTTTTGATCGACTGCCCAGTTTGAAACAATAAACTGGCTAATTAGAAAGATAAACTTTCCTCGATTGAACCTCGAACCAAATAAATGTCCATGATTAGCCAGATATATTTGTAATCGCTTTACAGGAAAAAACCTTCTCATTATCATCAGAATCACTGACATAAAAAGTCAGCGCAAAGACTTCATGTTTGCTTTCACCCGCATCCGTGAACTTAGCTTGCATATGCTCAAGCGCCGAGACATGGTACGCTCAGAATTCCAGCAGAAGGAAAAACTGTTCTGTGTCCTCCACAAACTTGAAACTGATAAGAATTCACGAATAAATGAACGAAAGGGTAAAATAGAATCGATTTTGCTGCGCCTCTTGACCGAAAGATGGCGATAAGATGAAGTGGAAACAAATATAGATGGGTGTATGGAGTCTAGAAAGCCGGTAGAACCATCCAGATTTATTACCATTCACAACACATCACATCACATCACACAATGCATTACCTTCATTTTGTCTGGTAATATCTCTGTAACTGATTGTGGATCGTTCTCTTCTTCGAAGGATACCGAGTGGATGGTGATTGTTCAGTCTGTTACTGTGTTAAGGAAACTGAGTTAGTATCTTCGAAGCTGTTCGTCAGGATGTCACTCAAACCTCACTCTGAACAAAGATTGGCGAGGATGTTGCACAAACTAAGTTATAATTTTTTTTTTCAAAAGAGAACTATGCTAAGAATAGGCCATTATGTA